GAGGCTGGGGTGCTCTTCGAGGCCGCGGGCCTGCGGCTGGGCCTGGAGCTGCGCCGCGCGGGGGAGCTGGCAAGGGCCTGGGAGGCGCTGGCGATCGCCATAGGGGAACAACAACGAGCACACAGACACCAAGATGGCGTTCCAGAAGAAAGGGCCTGCCCTTCGAAGATTGAAAGAGATGTCATCTCTTCCTCGGCGGAAGGTCGGCAGAAGTAAAACCAGGCCGCCTCCCCTGGTGGATGCCGGCGGAAGGCCGGCGGAAGGCGGCGGAAGTAAAAGGTAAGCCCCCAAGATATAACAACGTTTTTGGGTTCAGGGTTTCCAAGATCCGCCAAATAGTTGTCGATCCCCAGGAGAATAGATGGAAGACAGGGGAAGCGGAGGGAAGACAAACATCCAGGAAGTTTGGGACATATGGGGGATCTTGGGATGTGTGTCCTTTTATTTGTGCGTCCCTGGGCCCCTTCGCTGACGACGAGCGCTATGGAGGAAACGGGTCCCGAAAATGTTCGCAGGTTGTGGCTTCCAGGGGCCTTCCACGGGCCCTGGACTGTCAGAAAACGACTCAGGATGAAGACTTTGTCCCGGGGGAAGCCCCAGGACCCTTTTCCCCCCAAGGTAAGTTGAGGAGAAGGTGCCGATAGCGCTAGCCTTGACTCGTTTTCGCCTTGAGGGGCCTCGTGGGAGGCCGTCGTCGCCCCGGCTGGATTTGATTCGAAATCCTGGTCAGAACGCACCCCGGGCGAGGCCCGGGGAGTCGGGGTATCGGTACCTTTTGGTTTCCTTAGAGGCGCTGCTGGGGCTCTGCTCCGAGCCCGCGCTGCGGGAGCCCAAGAAGGCCTCCGGGCGCGAGGAGGAAGGAAGGGCTTTTCTCCAGGCCCCCCAGGTTGGTCCGGACAGAGGGGGCCGAAGGATCGCTTCGCGTCGCCGATGCATCGACGATGCGTCTCGATGCTGATCACGATTTTCTCCACGCCGATATGTCGCCGTTGCGGCCAGTGCACGGCCGATGTATCGCCGACGCATCGCCGACGCGTTGGCGATGCGGCGCGATCCTCCGACCCCATCTACTCGGACCCCACCTAGGAGGCCTTTAGTTTTAGAGGGTAACCTACCCCTCTTTCGCTTCCAGGCAGATGCAGATCCTACCACGCGCCTCCTCGTCAAGCAGCCGGAGCTGTTCGGGCCACCCGAGGGGTAGCTTGATATCGCTTTGCTCCCGTCTGTTGGGAGCGAGGGTGGTCAAAAGCGAGGGAGGATCGTTTGCGCTTGAGGCTTGGAGGGAGAAGAGGAAGGGTAAGAGGAGGTTGAGGAACAGGAGGAGGACGGGGAGGAGGAGGCGGAAGTTGGAGGAGGAGGAGGAGGAGGAGTCAAGCTAGCCCGCCTATTCCCAGCCTCCCTCCCATAGCATAAGAATCGATTGTGGCAGAACCGGATATTGGGATTGGAAAGCGCTCCCACCTAGCGAACGGAAGGCGCTCGCGCGCGCGGCCCCGCTTCCGAGGATCTGGCGAAGGGAGAACTGCGCGGACCGTGTACGGGCGGGAGCGGCAAAGCTTCCAGTGGGCGGGGCGAGGACGAGGCACGTACCGCGACGACGCAGCACTGTCACTTCCACGCGCGGTGCTTGGGCGAGGGCGGCACTTCGCCCGCTCTCGTGCGGCCCCGCGGCCACCGTCGCTGTCGTGCGATGTGGCGAAAGAGCAGTGCGACGCACCCGCGCAGGAACGCCCGCTCGCGCGGCCCCCCCCCCCCCGAAACATTGGCGAGTCAAAGGTCTGCGCCGCTCCGAGGCGAGAGCGGCATTCTCGTCCGCTCGCGCATCGACGTGCAAACCATGCGCACCGCGCCCCAGCAGGAGCTGAATTGCCTCAACACACATAAGTCGGCGTTGGCGCGAGAGCGACATTTCGGCCTTTCGGGCGGTGTAGACGTTTCTGTGTCTCTGAGAGGTGAAACAGGAGGTCCCAGGATCCACTCGCTGACGGCGGGCTAGGTGGCGGAGTACATACGCACATACGTAGCACCCCGCAGATGCGGATAAGAGTGAGGGGGCGGTGGGGACGTCGGCAGTCTGCAAGACTCCGGAGAAGCCGCCGCAGGCGCCAACGTTTCACAGATTATCAGAGTGAGGTGGCTGAACCGACCGGTCATTCACTATCCCTGGGTGCGTGACTGAAGTGGAATTCCGCGATGCGGATTCTTGTTCGTTGTTGTTGTTGGTGTTGTTGTTGTTGTTGTTGTTGGTGTTTGTTGTTGTCGTCGTCCGACCCGCGACCCGAACCGCGACCGACCCACGACCCACCTCGCGACCCACCCGCGATCCACCCGCGACCCACCCGCGACCCACCCCGCGACCCACCCGCGACCCACCCGCGACCCACCCCGCGACCCGCCCGCGACCCACCCCGAGACCCCCCCGGCGACCCACCCGCGACCCACCCGCGACCCACCCGCGACCCACCCGCGACCCACCCGCGACCCACCCGCGACCCACCCGCGACCCACCCGCGACCCAACCCCGCGACCCACCCAAAATTTCGGCGCCTACGGCGGGCTTCTTTTGCATCCGTTCCAGATGGAGAACCTGCGACCCACCCGCGACCCGAACCGCGCCCGCGACCCACCCGCGACCCACCGCGACCCACCCGCGACCCACCCGCGACCCACCCCGCGAACCACCCAAAATTTTCGGCGCCTGCGGCGGGCTTCTTTTGCATTCGTTTCAGGTGGAGAACCTGCAACCCACCCGCGACCCAAACCGCGTTCGTGTACAAATCGAAATTTTCTGCGCCTGCGGCGGGCCGTTCTTGAATTCCTTCCAGGTGGAGTCGGAGAGCCCGCGACCCACCCGCGACCCAAAGTACGTTCACTGAACATACCAAAACTTCGGCGCCTGCGGCGGGTTTCTTTTGCACTCGTTCCAGGTGGAGAACGACCCAGACCGCGTTCAGTGTAGAAATCAAAATTTTCGGCGCCTGCGGCGGGCTGTTCCTGAATTCCTTCCAGGTGGAGGTGGAGAGCCCGCGACCCAAACTACGTTCACTGAACAAACCAAAACTTCGGCGCCTGCGGCGGGCTGTGTTTGCATTCGTTCCGGGTGGCCTACCAGGAGGGGGAGGAGGAGTAGGACGACGACGACGGAGAAGAGGGGGGAGGATCGGGATTTGGGAGGAAGACAAGGAGGAGGAGGAGGAGGAGGAGGAGGAGGAGGAGGAGGAGGAGGAGGAGGAGGAGGAGGAGGAAAAGCAGGAAGAGGAGGAGGAGGTGGAGGAGGAGGAGGCGGACGACGACGACGACGGCAATGAGGACGTGGACGCGGGCGAGGAAGAGGAGGAGGAGGAGGAGCAGGAGGAGGAGGAAGAGGAGGAGGAGGAGGAGGAGGAGGAGGAGGGCGCCATCGACACGGAAGGTGAGAGCCACGAGGTCCGCCGGCTCGACGCCCGCGTCGCCCGCGCCCGCCCCCTCATTCTTATCCACAATTGCGGGGTGCTATACAACGAGCCTGCCGCAGGCGCCGATTTTTCTTCACAAACCAATGTGGATCGGTCGCGGGTGGGTCGCGGGGTGAGTCGCGGGTGGGTCGCAAGTGGGTCGCGGGGGGGTCGCGGGGGGGTCGCCGATGGGTCGCGGCGTGGGTCGAGGGTGGCTCGCGGGTGGGTCGCGGGGTGGGTCGCGGGTGGTCGCGGGTGGGTCGCGGGTGGGGTCGCGGGTGGGTCGCGGGGTGGGTCGCGGGTGGGTCGCGGGGTGGGTCGCGGGGTGTGTCGCGGGGTGGGTCGACAGCGGGTCGCAGGGGGGACGACTACAACAACAACAAGCAGAATCCTCACCACTGATTCTCACTTCAGCCACGCACCCAGGGACAATGAATGACAGTTCGGCCCCCTCACTCTGACATATACACATACATACATACAGACATACATACAGACAGGCATACATACATACACACATTCAGACAGACAGACAGACAGGCAGACAGGCAGGCAGACAGACAGACAGACACACAGACAGACAGACAGACAGACAGACAGACAGGCAGACAGACAGACAGACATGCATGCATGCATGCATGCAAACATGTATGCATGCATGCGTGCACACATTCACACAAACCGTACCTACCTACATACATGCACACGTCCATACATACATACATACATGCATACATTCATACACACATACATGCATGCATGCATGCATGCACGCATGCATACACACATACATACATACATACATACATACATACATACATACATACATACATACATACACGCGTGCATGCATACATACATACACACATACATACATACATATATACATACATCACACGAACATACATACACATACATACATATATACATACATACATGCATACACACATACACATACACATACACATACACATGCATATATGCATACATACATACATGCATTCATACATACATACATACACACATGCATACATACATACATACATACATACACCCAGCTACGCATACAAACAAACATGCATACATACACACATACATACATACATACATACATACATACACGCATACACACATACATACATGCACACATACATACATATATGCATACAACCATACATACATACATACATACATACATACATGCATACATACATACATACATGCACACAAACAGACCGACAGACAGACAGACAGACAGACAGACAGACATACATACATACGTACATACGTCCACACATACACACATACACACATACGCATACATACATGCATACATACATACATGCATGCATACATGCATGCATATATACATGTATGCATACAAACACACCTACACATGCGCAAGCCAATAATACATATGCATACATACACTCACCAAGTATACATACATACACGCAGGCATACTTACTTAACATTCGACCATACATGCATACATGTCGACCCATTCCCAACCATACTGTGGTGTTGGGTCCTCGTTTTGAAGAGACAGCGCTCCGCGTCTTCCTCCCGCTGCCCACTCCCCCTCCTCCCACTCTTCCCTCCTCACAACCCCCATGTGCGCACACCCCTCTCACGTTTCGTGGCCCCATAAGGAGCTCCACCGAAGGCCCCAGAGGCTGCGTTCGCATGCTGTTCCACCCTCATTTCGGCACACCCCTCACATGTTCCGTGGCCCCATAGGGAGCTTCGCCGAAGGCCCCAGCGGCTGCGTTCGCATGCGGTTCCACCCCCGTTTCGGTACACCCCTCACACGCTTCGTGGCCCCCATAGGGAGCTCCACCGCAGGCCCCAGCGGCTGCGTTCGCATACAGTTCCAACCCCATTTCGGCACACCCCTCTCACGTTTTGTGGCACCCATAAGGGGCTCCACCGAAGGCCCCAGTGGCTGCGTTCGCATGCGGTTCCACCCCAATTTCGGCACACCCCTCACACGTTTTGTGGCACCCATAAGGGGCTCCACCGAAGGCCCCAGTGGCTGCGTTCGCATGCGGTTCCACCTCAATTTCGGCACACCCCTCACACGTTTTGTGGCCGTATAGGAACTCCATCCTAGGCTCCAGTGACTGCGTTCAGATGCGGTTCCATCCCAATTTCGGCACACCCCTCACACGTTTCGTAGCCCATAGGGAGCTCCGCCGAAGGCCCCAGTGGCTGCGGTCGCACGCGGTTCCACCCTAATTTCGGCACCCCTCACACGTTTCGTGGCCCCCATAGGGAGCTCCACCGCAGGCCCCAGCGGCTGCTTTCGCATGCGGTTCCAACCCCATTTCGGCACACCCCTCTCACGTTTTGTGGCACCCATGAGGGGCTCCACCGAAGGCCCCAGTGGCTGCGTTCGCATGCG